TCTCAACCGCCCGGCCGCTGCCCATCCCCCTCAGGGGCTCCTGCTCCGAGGGGGGAGGGTTTGAGTCGGTGGGGGAGGGCGCCAGGGGTCCCCTAGGGTTCCGAGGGAGCGTGGACCTCCCAGCACCCTCCCCAACACGCATGCCCAGGGGGCTCCTCGGAGATGGGGGTGCTCGCCCCTTGCCCACCTACACCCCTTCACGCCTTTCAGCTCGCCAGGAGTTGCCGCTAAGGAATCCTCCCCCGAAGCTCGGGGGAATGGGACGCGGTGGGGAGCGCGCAGAGGGAAGGGGTGCTGGGGGACGGGTGGGTTCGGGCCTGCCCGTCCCAGCCTGGGTCCCTGTGCTCCTGGAAACTTGGAAGCCCAGAATGAAAGTGAAAAGGGCTAGGTGCCCGCAGCCCGGGGTCTGGGCTCCGGGCTGCCTGCGAAGCGACCCAGCAGGAGCCGCCGCGGCCGGCGGAGGGGCCCCGCTCAGAGCCGCAGCCGCGGACCCGCAATTTCCAGCTACGCCGCCCCCTCGCGAGGCTCAAGACCCGCTCTNGCTGACGCCGGCGCCTGGCCTCGCGCACCGCGCGCGGAGGGCGCAGCGCCGACCCAAAGTTCGAAGCGGCTTACCCGTGCGGCCTGTCCGACCGAGTGGAAGGAGAAGACAAGGTAACAGCCAGGGCGATTGTGCGTGTTTGGGGCTGGGGGCGCTATTCGGGGGAGAACCCCGGGGAGTCTCCGCCGTCAATGTCGGGTCTAGCGGTGAGGGCTTCGAGGGAGACCCGGAGCTTCTTGCGCAAGCCCCCAGGCTCTGCGAGTGGGGGAAAGACATTTCGGGCCCCAAAATGTCTGTAGGGGTCTCCGGGTATGATTAGGAGAAGGGGGGCAGCCTGGGCTATCTCTCCCCAGCCTACCTGGGTCTAAGTGTGGCTGTGCGGCTCACATTTGGGGCTCTCAAAGGTCCCATACTGCTAGCGTCTGTTGGTGCTGGGGACACAACGGGAACGCCTTCCCCAGCCTGCCCTGGGTTGTGCATGTGATGGGAGGGGGCACCTCCCCCAGCCCAGCTAGCCAGCACGACCAGTCTTCGTGCGTGCGGATTGGGGGGTGGTGAGCAGCTCGGAAAGGCTCTCCCACGCCCGGGGTCGCCCCCTCCTCAGCTGGCCCGGTGCGGGAGCTCGGAAACCTGCCAGATTCCGTCGCTGCCGTTGGAGGA